AGTTAAAATTTTAAATTAAATTACAATGTAAATATTAATAATGATCATTGATTGATTACTTACCCTCCTAAAGCTGATATTGGTAATACTCTGGAATCCCTTGCTCCTAATTTTAGTGCAATTTTATTGAAAATTTCTTTAATTTCTTCAACTTTTAAAGAATTTGGTAAATCTTGTTTATTTGCCAACATCAATACTGGAACACCTTCAACTTCTTCATTTGTAATTATCCTTTCTATTGTAATACAATCACCATTATTATTGCATACAAATTACATAATTCTTTCTTTATTTCTCAAAAGTAAGAATGTTAGACCAACATACCAAAAATTTCTTTACATTCTTCAATTCGTTCTTTATCAGTTGAATCAACAACAAATATGATGGCATGGCATTCAGAATAATATTTTTCCCAAATACCGTGTAGTTCACGTTGTCCTCCCAAATCCCAAAAATTTAGTCGTGATCTATTTATATCAATTTTTCCGACTTATTACATAAATTGAACGAAAAAATTGGTTGTTAAGTAAATCTGTATACAATCAGAAATTTCTCAAAAAAAAAAAAAAAGGTACATACTATTTAAACCTACTGTGGGTGCAATCCTATCAGGTGAAAGACCCATAATTCCAAGAAATATAGACTTAATACGCTCTAAAAGTGTCTATAATTGATCCGAATCGTCAAACTAACTTTTACAATTTTTCTATAAATAAAGCAGACTAAATCGTATGACTAAATAATCTATTATTACCGTTTTACCAGCATTATCAAGTCCGAGTATGACAATGTAAAATTCTTCTCTACGCGTAAGATATTTGTGGAAGCCGCTCAATAAGGTATACATGATAGAAGGTATAGTTTACTGGTTAAAGTCTCGTTTATTTCTGTATTTAATATTTAAATGCGACAAATTTAATCACCCAATTAAATTCATTCACAGGGTATAACTTATACGTACGTACATATTACGTACTTGAACACAAAAAGTTATCAGTTATCTGTTATGCAAAACTTACGATTTTGATATTCTGCACTTATACGATGTTACACTATAATTTATACGTATAACAAATACGATTATACTTTTAATAAAAATTTCAGCGAAGATTACCTATTAAAATTCTTTTTTTTAAATTAATTAATTATAAATACCTAGCATCAGAATAAAAACCGCCTATCAAAATATAAGCTGCGTCAAATTTTTTTAAAACTTTGAGCGAATATATCTCGACAACCACCCGATCAAATTTGATTGATTTTTTTTTTTGTTTGAATTCTATGGATCTCTGGAATCTAAATAAAAAAATTTCATCGAATTTGATCAGGTGGTTGTCGAGATATCTTCGCTCAAAGTTTGCAAACAATTCAAACTGCCTATTAAAATAGAAGCTGCGCCAAATTTTTTTAAAATTTGAGCGAAGATATCTCGAACAACCATCCGATCGAATTTGATGAATCTTTTTTTTTGAAATAAAAAAATTTTTATCGAATTTTGGTCGGGTGGTTTTCGAGATATCTTTGCTTAGAATTAGTAAACAATTCAAAACGCCTATTAAAAAATAGAAGCTGCGTTAAATTTTTTTTTAAAACTTTAAACGAAGAGATCACAACAATCGCCCGACCAAATTCGGTGAAAATTTTTTTATTTGAATTCTACAGATCCATAGAATTCAAACAAAAAAAAATTCATCAAATTCGATCGGGTGGTTGTCGAGATATCTTCGCTCAAAGTATATAAAATTTAGTGTAACATCTGCGTATATGTGCAGGTGTATCAAAATCGTAAGTTTTGCATCTGTTATTATGTGCTATCACGTGTAACATATGTGTATGATATTTAATTTTGTACAATATCACTAATATTCTTTCACAAAAGAAAAAAAAAAAAAAACCGTTGAAGATGTTGAATGAAGCCTCAGCGTTACCGGCTGACCCAAGTACCCCAGAACAATCACAAGAAGATCAAGGGCCAGCAATTCGTATAGTTCCATATATTGATGGACCTCGCTCTCTCCGTTTTGACATCATCGAGCGAGAAGTTCCCGAAGGTGTGGTGATAAAAATTGGTCGTTTTACGGACAAAACTCTAGCTCCAAACAGAGTCACATTCAGAAGTAAAGTTGTGTCTCGGGGTCATGCAGAGATTTGGAGTGAAAATGGCAAGGTATTTAGACTAATTTCTGGTTTTTTTTTTTTATTTTTTTTTATTTTTATTTTTTGAACCTGGGCCATTTTCGTTGGTATCACTAAGAACTCTTTCAAGCAAAAGCTTGAATATGATAGTACGAATTTTCTATTATTTTATTATATGAATTATTTAATTTTGTATATTTAAAAAAATTGACAACCATTTTTTTAAGCAAATTCAATTAAGGCATTTTTTTTTTTAATTAATATTTATCTTTTTTATTATTAAGTTTTACATTCGAGACACGAAATCCTCCTCCGGCACTTTTTTAAACCATCAACGTCTATCTGCCCCAAGTGCAGAAAGCAAACCTTTTGAATTAAACGATGGGGATGTTGTCCAACTTGGAGTCGATTATCAAGGTGGAACAGAAGGTAAATGGCAAGTATAATTATAACTTTTTAATAATATTTGTCTAATATTAAAATTATTTTGGTACTAGAAATTTATCGTTGTGTGAAGATGCGTGTAGAACTAAACCGTTCATGGCAAAGACAGGCCAATCCATTTAGGTAAGAGAATACGAAATTGACTAGACAAAATATGGATTTATATTATTAGTCATTGACAAGGCATTACGTAAGACAACTAGAAATTGAATTCAAGTAGCTAGAATGCTCATATCGAGGACACTTTTCAAGCAAAGTCATATATATATTTTTAGAGGAATTTAAGTCAAAAAAAATGTTAATAATTTAAAATGTTAGGATGCTACAGAGTCGGAATCGATACCCTATAATCACGTGATTCATTCTTTATAGAGCTTTAAAAGGAAAACAAAACACATGATTATAGAGTATAGATTTTGCTTCGATTAATGAAATATCATATTCTGAAACTTGCTTTTACGCAATCTGAATATACATTTGAAAGGTTTTTTTATAACCCAAATACATTCATCCATCATATGACTCTTTGAGCATTTAGGAAATATGTAGTAAGCTTATTTAAGAATATATTATGAAAAGATCAAGTTCGAAGATATTCTTTAAAGAATCATGTTTTAGGATATACTTTAACCGTATTAACTTACAATTATGCATACATATCTCATTTTTTTAATATTTAGCCTCAATGCATTGAAACAGTTCAAACAATTGATGAGCCCCGAAGCGCTACGACAACAGACCACAGATTGTTGCATTTGTTTATGTGGAATCGGTCCTTGTCAAGCATTATTCCTCGCACCCTGTTCTCATATCTTTCATTACAAATGTATAAGACCGCTTTTAGTTAACCATCATCCGGGATTTTTATGCCCCCTCTGTCGTAGTTTTGCTGACCTTGAGGCACAAATCGATAACCCCATCGATTGGGAACGATTGCTTGCTGAACAAGAGGAGGCAGAAAAGAAAGAAAACGAAGAATCCGAGATAGATGTAAATAAGGAACAAGTACTAGAACAATCAGAACCCGAAAATGATATCCAAAATGCAGGACCATCTACATCATTATCAAATATCCAATCACCAAATGTTACAGAATCACCACCATCTCAAATGACTGCAAAGGAAATTGATGAACGACTTAGCTCACTTTCTATCACAACTGCTCCAGCTTTGGCATCGAAAAAAACATTTGCCGTTCCTATACCAAGAAATAAGAAAATGTCAAATTCTTCAGATGATGGTGATGAACAAAACCTAATACTTAGTCGTACATTACCATCAAGTCCTCCAAATTTACCAGTAACAAATTATATTGATGATCAGCATCAATCACTTCGAGAACAAGGTGGCGCACAACGGTTAGGGGAAATCGTCGAAGAAGATGAGGGCTCAGTGGGTTCATCGAGTCCTGGTAAAAGTCAATCCACAATACCTCTTCAAGATTCAAGTTGTTCTTCAGCTAGTATAAGT